AAAATATTGTAGTTAAGGCTTCAAGTGGTTTCAGAAGTATAATTAGTTTTTCTATAGCTAACCAATCACCTTCTGATATCTCTAATTTTTGGGCAATACTGGCTGCTGTTGTGTTACGATCTGCGAGCACATTCATGATAGGTGCTCTATTACTATAGAGCCTATCTAACATTAAGTAACTAGAATTCCACCTAGTTTTGCAGTTTTGTAAAAGAGTTAATTTTGGTAATCCAAGCTGTTGTTGCATTTTTGCCAAAGCCTTAATTGATATTGCTGAATGTTTAAAATGGCCGACGATTTTACTGGATTTTGTAATTATACATTGAATATCATCGTTTGAAAGTGCTTTATTAACAGCTAGCTGCAAAGAATGTGCTGCACATGTTAATCCAGATTTTTCCATGTCGTCATTTATTTTTAACTGTGTTATAGCGTTGGTGACATTTGTAGCGTTATCTGTAACAACAGCATAAACTTTGTTTTCAATTCCCCACTCTTTAAATGCTTTTTCTAAATGATGGGCAATGTTCGGAGCCGTGTGTCGCTCTTCAACTTCATGAGTTGTCAATGTAAATGAACTCGGTTCCCAGTGATAATTGATAGTGTGACAGGTAACTGTAATGTATGACGCTTGAGATCGGGACGTCCAGCAATCTGTTGTACACGACACATTTGGCACATGTTTTAATTTATTTTTAACTATTTCTTTTATTTCATTTAAAAACAGTTTTAAACGATTTTTTAGTGTTTCTGTAGAGCATGGCTTATAATTTGGCTCCACAACTGCCATGAAATTCTTAAAACCTAGACTTGAACAAAATGAGAGTGGCATTTGATTCATTGCTATCATTTTTGTAAGTGCTTTATGTATTTCTTCAATCCTTTCAGAGTTAAGCGGTTGATTTGATGTGTTGTCGGTTTTATTTATTTTTTGTCGTTTTCGCTTTAATTTAGAGCTTGAAATAAAATTATTTTTCGATGAGTCAGAATTAATATTTGCAGAACTAGTACATGGAAGTTCTAAATCGTTTAAACAAGTAGTAGACTGACTATTTGTTATAGTTGTATTAGATTCGAGGTCATTAGAATCAAGTACTCCATTTTCTGATTCAGCGGTGCGACTGTAAAAATATACAAAACAAATTTTAAAATAAACTTAAAATAGGTAATTATTTGTATTTATCAAAGAAAGCATAGCTGAAGGTGGTCACCGGTTTTCATTTCAGTTATAGTATACTTTTTCAAATTTTTCAAATATTACCCAACTAAAAATGTAGTCAAAACAGTTCTAAAATTGTAAATGATATTAAATGTAGAATTGATGTGACATAATTATTATTTTTTTGTTACGTCTCACTCTTATGTACAGCATTCTTAATTTATAGTTGTTAATAGTCTTTTAATAAAAAGCCTATAATTATTAAAAAGTAAAATAAAATATAGATTTATATGATTGTATCACAGAACACAAAAAATTAATTTTATAGCAAATATTAAAAAAAAATTGTAATATTGTTAAAATTCGAAATAGAAATAATAATTTTTGATAACTTTCCCACTTTTAGCGCCACTGATATTTCAACTATTTTAACAGTCGAAATAAAAGGAAAATAAAATAGCTCAAATAGGTTCAAAAACGGTTGCAAAATATACATATCTGGATAGCATATCTATTTAAAATTGTTATTAGGTACCTACCACACAGTAAAGATACCTCTATAAAAAATGACTTTTTTGAAATAGGAAAATGTTAACTTACCTCCTTTTTCTATTTGCATCGTTATTCATAGAATGAATAGACATAAGATGCCGCCCTATGGAACCAGTGGTACCTCCATTGCAAACAAACTCATTATTTTCATTTTCGTCACATAAAAGGCAATATGCAACATTACCTTTTTTTTGGGCATATTTCCAAACCCAACTATTTTTTTTGTTGCCCATAATACTAAGTTTTTATTAAAACTTTATTTATGAAAAAAAAACGAAACTGAATTATACAATTACGGATGAATAAGATAATGTTGAAAGGAAATACAAATATTACACTATAATATTACATAAATAAGGAAAAAAATTGATCGCATCTACTTATTTCTCTACAAGGTGTTGAAGTGTTCGATGTGGTAATTTAGTCGATCTGTCCAAGTGCTTCTCTACAAGAGACTGACCTCTGAGCTCTTGTCGACCACCTTATATAGTCTCCCACTAACGCAGGCACGTTGTTAATTGGTCGGGGGTGTGGCGGCGTCGAATACTCCCATTGGTCGGACGGCGGTAGTGCCACTAGCCCTTATTGGTTAAACTAATGCGCTTTGATATTTTTGTTTTACCTTATTTTTTCTATTTCTTACATTTATAATTTAAGATGACTTTATACCCCCTATTTATTAAAGAGTTAGGTATAGGCAATTTTTTGTAAAATCGTAATTTAAAGACTAAATTGTGATGTTTTATTATTAGTTAAGTAATCTTGACTCTTTTTTGGTAGTTTACTTATTTTTCGAAATGTCACAGCATCCTTGACAGCGATTTAAAAAAAAATCATTTTAACTGGCTACGCGTATTCTCTCTTATCAACTAAATAACAATCGTAGACAATTTCTTTTTACACATTTAAATTAATAAGAACTTTATCTAAGTTTTCTCGTCGGCTTTTTTTGATATTATTAACCCAACATTCACTATTTATATTTTAATTCTGACATTTTTTTAACTTTTTGAAGTGCTTGTATTAAGGTAAAATTCAAGTTTTCCATAAAAACCGTCGAGAGAACCTAGGTAAAGTTCTCCTCTTTGTAACCTCTCTGTTATGACCAATTCGCTTTGACCTACACGCTTTACCGTTAATCCCTTTTTTACGGTTATTTTTAAAGAGTATAACGTCCTCTTAATACTTACATGATACCAGGAGGCGGGATGTCTTAAGGTAGAAAAATATTTAAACAAAATTAGTTTAAAAAATAAACACATCATACGCTGATAGACTGAAGGCACTGGCAATTCTAAATATTGAATCACAACTAATTCTTAAAATTAATTGTAGTGATGTAATTGAAGATTTCACTAATAATCAAGCACGAAAAAAATTAAATTAAAAAAAACCTTATAATATATTATTTAATATTTTTTTTATCATGTTAATTTTTTGTAAAAAATATAAAATTATTTTGCACTATAGAGCCACTTTAAAAATAAAATAATTATGTATAAAAGTAATAGGTTCTAAAAATATGTCAATCACGGATTATAAATATGAACATAAATCACGAAATTCACGTAATTAGTAAATACACGTGAGTATCATCACGGAATTCACGTATCACGTGAAATGCGTGAATATCCCTAGTAAATATCCGTGAACCCGTGACACGGATACACGGATACATTAGAACACGTGTTTTATTGAGACCTCTAGTTATTAGTAGTCCAAGCATCATCACATTCTTCTGTTATCTCATCAATCATTGAACGCATTTCACCGACCAATCTGTCTAACATGTCGGCGGAGTCTGCTTTATTTGTTTTATCTTTTGGTTTGTCAATCGCTTCGTCGAGCTCCTCGTCACTTTGTTCCGTCGTAGAGTTGACGGAATGCTCACAACTAGACATCACTGTTGTCTCCGTCGAATCATGTATGTGATCATAGCAGGTATATGATGAATTACTCGATGAATCTTTCAGCGTTGTGCCATTCGTGGGATAAAGACTATTGTACATTTTGTCTGTCTCGATTTTAAAAGCCTCCACCTCTGGATCGAGATCGTTGATACTATATGTTGGGTTTGCTTTTAATTTAGCATTCAAAATGTCGTCGAAAGAGCTGCTGTTGAACCATGTAATCCGATCTCCTTCGAACCATGGACAGATATTTTGCTGCTTTTTTTCTTCAACGTGGACTTTTGTCGGGCCTATTATTACAATGATATAAACAGCTAGTATAGTGACGTCGAGGCATAGTACGGCCGAACCATATTGGGGAAGGGTAGGTCAAAGGTCTACAGGAATATTATAACTGACAGTAATGAAATAACTTCCAAATAAATGCTTCAATGCGAATGTATAAATTGTAGAAAAAGAAATACGGATAAAAGCATTATAATGACAATGATGTGCTTTTCAATATTAGTTGCTGTTGGTACCAACGTCCCTATGTGTCGTAATTAACAACGTAATGAAACTATTTTGCAAATTGCAGATACCACTGACTGTAGATTTACTGTCACATAGCAACTAAAAATCTACTACGGCCAAAGTATTTCCTTTTTTATTTTAAAGAAGAAAGCCCTAAATATAAATCTGCTAGGCACGCATAAACTAAAATACAATTTTATATACACGATCAGCAGATAATAAACCTACTCTCAACGATTTTCTTCTCTGGGAGAGATTTTCGCACTAGTGGTTTCTGGTTTCGCGCCACCGGCTTTGCTAGTTCAACAATTCTCTTAGAGATATTGAGCTTAGGCTTTCCAAGTAGAGATGCTGGTGACGATGTTGGCTTTCTGATGCCACAATAGTCCATACATCTGTCTCCGAATTCACGGTCAGCTTTGGAGAGACCAGGCTTAAATATGATTGTTTTGTTTTTAACTACCATGTTTCCTTATAAATTTTAAGGTTTTCTGTAATAGCAGAATTCGGGGTTGAATTCTTCATTCGAATTATAACCAAAAGTTGTCTGAACAAAAGTACTTATGATACAGAAAAAGCGTTTGTTACTATCAAACTGTTTGTTTCGTTGTTAGAGTTAACTGATCTAATATGAGCTAAAATATATTTTTTAGTAAATAATAAATGCCGAATTTTTTTTTTTTCGAATCCAGGTAGAAATAGAACCACTATGATAGGTGTTACCAAATAAAAATGTGTAAAATAAATTATTTAAGAAAAATCGTTTTAAAAAATGTATCTTGTAATTTAATTATTATGATATAACTCAGATGATATAATCAGTTAATTAATTTTTACCAAAGAATTTATGTTTTTTTTTTGTGTAGGAATTAAAGAAATCGAATTGCCGCCCGTGGAACCTTTCAGAATGGACTCGCTGAGTTTAGCCATTACCGGCGGATCCAACGGATACAAAATAACCCTGAGGGACATCGACTTGTATGGGGCCAGTAACTTTTCCATCCAAAAAATTTTGTAAGTCGCTACTGAAAATTCAAATAATATTTTCATAAAAATTATCCGCGGTGGCCTATATTTTGTGCTTGCCAGTCGGTAGCTGTTGTCAACAACCGTCTACTAGCATCGACCCTGAACGGGACGGACGTGATGCGAATGATAATACAAATCACAATTATAATAATATTATGTCCTCTTGACAAATCGGTTGTAAACAAATGGAGTTCTGTCAATGACAATATTGTTGTTATTCAACGGTTCGAAGAAAAAATTCTTATATTTTCGAGTAATATGCTTTAAACAAGGCGTTAAAGCTATGCAATTTTACTACACGCACGTTGTTCGGACATTTTACAATATCTCAAAGAATATCAAGGCAAAACATATAACACCTTCGAGCCTTACATATTATACACAATTCATTTGTACATCGTTTTTATTATCATATTGATAGGTATGAAATCATACTTTAATTTTAACTGTATTAAGTATTTTGTACGTGTCGTGTCATTGGTAAATATATTATTAAGTAATCACATCAGTTAACAACTGCAGTTGTTCCAAAAGAAGACTATTTATCAATCAAGGATTTTTCTAAATACTCCATTGTTGTTTTAAATTATACACTATCCTGTTGTCGAACACTCAAGGTTCGGTTTACTAAAATTATACATATAAATGAATAGTTATGATAATACCCTGTTCACGAAAATATACAGCTGTAATTCAAATATGAACGTGTCTAAAAAAATTTAGTTACGTTAAAAAATCTAAAATGTATGAAGAAGGTACTAAAAAAGTTTTAAACCCTCTTAAAAACGTAAAAAATTGTCAATGAAAATGTCCCAATAATATTAAAAAATGAATAAACTTGTTTTAAAAAATAATTTATATAAAAAATCCTTTTTTGTGTTAAACATAATTTTTTTACTAATTTAATAAGAAATATAGTATCTTGTTGCAAATTTACTACACACATTTTCAAGACAGCTCTTAAATAAAACGTCCAACCATCATATTATTATTAATTGAGAATAAAAACTATTTTTGGTTTTCTTGTGTTTTGACATTTGAATATAGAATTTTTTTCCCCGACAATCTATAATTTTTTTTATAAAACATTATTTGGCATAAAATATGAAAAAATTCAAATATTTTATTATTTCCTGCGCAGAAATTTTCTAAATATTTTGTTGAGGTTTAATCGAAAACATTGTGTGTCAGAACTAAATTTGTTAGTTTTGAAATCAATCTATGTGAAATTGTTAAATTAAAAATATTCAAACATTTTTGTTATTGAAATATTTTCTTTATGTCAAAATATATTAACAGTTTTTTTTTATGAGGTTATGTTTTTAGAGTGTGTTTTTAATATGTATTTATGTTGCGGAGCATGTCATATTGTCTGTATCATTACATCATTTGTTTACCTAATTGTTTTACATAGGTTGCGCCCGAATTTGCCGTTCGAGGGTAAAGTGAGAATTCCAAAAATGACAATGGACGCCAAGTACGCCAGCACGGGTGTTTTATTGGTGTTGCCAGCCAACGGAAACGGAACTTTCCACGCAGATTTAGGTTGGTATTTTTAGTATAATTTTAATTACTACACAAATATGTAGGTAGTATAATTTACCTTTTCTTCAAGTATGGTGCCCATTCCTCAGGAGTCTAAAAATTATTATTATGTGATATTTTATTAAAAAAAATGTATACAAATATTACGCATTTGCATTATAAAATTTTTTACAAAATTAAAACATTTTTTTTAAAAGTATAATTTTAGATTGTGTTATATTAAAAATAAGTGTGACCGACTAAGTCTGACTCCACAGTTTTTTTAACATCTACTTGTAAAAATACAATCGGGGAGGCGGAAAAAATTGAACAAAATCGTTTAGTGAATGAAAAGTGTTTCTTATCAAACGCTTTATTATTGGACAAATTCTTTCCCAAGGGTCTACTATTTAGTGGATTTAGGACAAGGCCAATAATTCGGAGTACATATAAAATATATAGCATTTATAATGATGCACGTGCGGGAAATAATTTACAAGGACTTATTGTCGTGTTAGGGAAACCGTACCAAAAATAAGTAATTATCATACATTTCCTCTGTCATATGACCTCGTGTAAATTGACTAGCATAGTAACTTAAATAAACTAAAGATCTAACTTAGGCAACGGTTTTTTTCCATTACAGGCGATGTGATTTGTACGGCCAAAGGAGTGGTTTCCAGTTACCAAAAGGATTCGCAGGAATACTACAACTTGGACGTTTTGGAAGTAGACTTGGTTATCAAAAAAGCTTACATGCTCGTTAGCAAAGTTAACAACAACAGGATAATTGGTGAACGAAAATTTATTATTACTTAACGTTAACCCACTCAGTAGGGAAAATAATGGTTTTAAAAAAATTGTTATACCTAATATATTTTTGGCCAGAAATTAAATATTGTTTACAAAATGCTCATATAATACTAAAATTTGAATAGTAATTATTATAATATTACTTTATATTTTAACAACGTTTCGTAAATATTATTTATAGAACATATACTTTTCAACTATTAGGAAAATTTTTTGATAAAATGTAGACAACACATATTTCATGTTTCTACTGACTGGATAGGGTATTTATTAAAATAGTGTTTAATACTTTTGTGATAGTTCTTTGTGAATGATTTTCTAAAAAAAAAAGACTTTTTTTTTTCAGTAGAACTTACCCGAAAATACAAATAAAAAATATTGTCTTAACAATAGTTTAAACATTAATTTAAATGGTCAACATAAAAATCAATAACTTCTTCAAGTTTTTATGATTTTCGCTAAGTTTGAAGAGACACAATTAGACCGTTTTATACATAAATAGCTTACTGTGTGTAATATTGTTTTGTAACCGACTTGCAATTACTTTTTCAGTGGAAGCAACAAACTTGTTCTTGCGTGAAAACGGTCAAGAAGTCTTGCAAGTGATGATGCCTCAACTCAGAACTAAATTGGCAACGATTTTCAAAAGGATAGTCAACCAACTGTTGACACACGTACCGGCCGAGACTTTCTTCAGCAACTAAACGATTAACCTGATGCAAATATTATAATATGAAGAAAAAAAATTAAGATATGCACAAATCTATTTTTTTTTTCATTCGAGTACACCACTTATCACGTTCTCGTAGTTTAAGACTTGTATTTCATTTAAGATTACTGATTATAATATATACTAATATTTGTATATTATTATTGTTTAAATGATATTATTTTTTACTATTATATTTTTTTTACTGTTAATTTTAATATATTATGTATAAAATCAACTTTTTTTGTTGTTTTGACTGAACCCTTACTCGTTTTCAAAACGAAAAATAATATTTCCCGTAATAAAAACAAAATATAAAGAGTGTACCATAAATTTATGCCACATTTTTTTCTAAATTATCTATAGATTTTGTTGATTTCTTTTAAAAATTATATAAACAATATCATTAACGAATACTGAGTGACATATTTATTTTAAGAGCATTTTGGTTGAAGTATCGTAGTATACATTTTTTTAAATATATTATATTTATTATTTTTACTAAAAAACTAACTTTTGAAAATGGGAAAAAATACCTGATTTTGACATCATACGGTGTTTAAAAGACATATATTTATGATATACCTGTATATTTTACTTACATGTGGATTAATTCCTAACAGCGTTTCCAAGACGGTATTAGTGGGTACTTCAAAAATTCAATTCATACTAAATAGTTTAATATTCATAATTCTTTAGATGAGCCCAATAAAATATAATTATGAAAAATATATATTATTTTATTTGCAACGATTTAATGAATTAACTTTTATATTTTAATTGAAAACATCTTTCTTATAAAGCGCAGAGAGTTAATAATAATGATATAGTATTATATTTTATTCAAAATATGCATATTAAAAATAGTCATAAAGAATATATGTGGCTTAAAATGGCATTGTATATAATAATAACCAAAATATATAAAATACCTAATATATATAATATTATATTATTTGTTTAGTTATTTAGTTATTATTTGGACGGTTTGGTATTCACCCGAAATCTTTTCGAACCCGTTTTAAAACGTATTTTTCATTTTACTCGTACATATTATAATAAGACAGACACAATATAGAGTCCATATAAATATAATACAGAAGACTCGAATGGAATATTAAAGTAACTGTCGATTTCTACACAGTAGAATAAGTAACGCTTTTTAATCACATAATCCTACTCAGTATTTGTTCGTTTTTGAAAATTTAATAGTCAGGTCATTATAATTTATTTATTTCTATTAGTCTTTTCTATTTTCTGTAGAACAGGTCAGATCAGGCTTAAATATAATGATTTTATTATGTTTGAATTAGGTTATTATGTTTTAAATATAACAGTGAAATTAATTTATTAATCAACAATTAAATGTGATTACATTTTAGTTATAATAGTATAAGTAAACCCAACACTTTGGCTTAACTTCAATGTTGTGATAAAAACGAATTGTCAGAGAAAAATATAATAATATATAATAATAAATATAAAATATATAATAATATGTAAAATATAATAATAATAATACGTAAAAAATTAGGTTTTTGTACATTTACAGTATATATATATAAGTACAACACAAATTGTTTCAAGAAATATCCGTGAGGTTTAGCCGTCATCGGAGATGAAAACTTACTTATTTGACTCCACTTTAATGGTCCGTTAAAATTAAACGAATTAAATTAGTCTACAAAAATTAGGTTTATAAGAAATGTCTATGACTATTGATTCATTAGACATTTTTAATGACTATTGATTTATTAGACCTGTTTAATGACTATGCGACATGGTCCCTTGGCTAATATTATCATTAATCCCGACAAACCAGTTTTCAATTGTTTGAAAAAACTCGAGTAGAGTTCGTTATCGATTTTAATTTCTAGGTACAGCCGCGTCCACCTTATTGGAAAAAACCAGTTGATTGCCCTCTTAGATTTACCGTTATTTGAACCACTGACATTCTTCTTAGCCAGTCAAACTGCCAGCACCAACTTTTCTTTAACGATATTCTGTTTTGAACCCGAAGGGAAACAATAGCCGTTCCGCCCACTCACTTGGTAATAAAATTATCCATAAGACAATAAAAAAAAATATATATATATATATGAGTTTATTGATAGTATAGGCTAACCGAACCAACTGAATAATGTAAAAAGTAGTTTTTATATTATGATACAAACAATACCTGTCCTTTACATGTATCTCTTCTTAGTATTTCATTATTTGTTCAATGCTATCAAAATAAATTTATACAGTACAAATTTGGTAGCAAGACTTCGTTGAGAGTATGGTATTACAATATTATGCCAAACTAGGTGTATTTGTATTTAATACTAAAGTAGCACTTTATAGTGCTTTTTATTTAAATCTGTCTTATAAGGTCTTACAACAATGCATAAACAAATACTCGAAATGACAGCTCCTCGAATTTTCCGATAGAATCTTAGCCGTGCTTTTTTCAAATCAAAACATTTTTCATGTCTTCTTTGTTATGTTTTGCTTAATTAATGACGTCAATCTATAAATTAAACCCGTGCGTCATTTATTAAGAAAAGCTATTAGTTTTGTTTTTCATTTGGACGTCTGGAAGTATTGCATTTATATATTATGCAAAAACAACATAAACTTAAATTGTAAAGTCATGTGAACAATTATAATTTGTCAGGTACTTACTCATTATAAATTTGTTGTTTTCATGATTTTAAACTGTTACGTCTTATACAATATAATGGATAAATCAATACGTCTTTATATGACGTATCAAGAAGTATAGTAACTAACAATAAATTGATGTGGAAGATGAATACAAATTATTTCTTCAAATTTAATATACATTGCTGATAATTTTAACCAGGAATGTCACTCTTGTATTTGTTGTTGTACTATTTAGTAACGCTCTTTTATACACATCGAGTTATTATTTTTCACAAAAAAGTGATTTCGTTAGAAATACACTAATTTTAATTTGTGCCTGGACGGTATCAATTTTTACAGATTTATTGTAATAGCTTTTGAATAAAAATTTGTTGTCCATACAGTTTATAATATAACTTAGAGCTATACTACTAGACAAAAAAAAATATTTATTTTCAACTACTTAGGTGAGGCCTAGTACAATTCAGTGAAAAAATTATAAATAATTTTATTTCTTGCTATGTACATATTGTACATAGGTAAACTACTTTATTTCAATAAAACAAGCGGACTGCTCACCCCGTAAGTTGCCTTTGCAACACAGTTTACAAATCAATACAATGTACACACATAATACGGAGAAATAAAGTTCTCTTTACTAGATTTTGTTGGAATCCCATTCTCATTTGAAAATACAAATTTTTGGAATTAATTCAAACTAATATACAGATTATTCAGTTAAAATATGTAAATTTTTTACTAAAAAGACAGACGACGGCTAATCTCCTATTTGTTTTCTCTATTTATATGCAACTTTATAATTAATACTCAAAAGATTGTTTGAAGACGTTATAAACATTTATTATCCAATTTACATTCTAAGGGAAAAATCGGAAACATTTTTTTAATGAAACAGATGTAATGCCTTAATATTTTTATAGCGTTTTAAAAACATTTTGGTTTTATTTCACATTTTTAATTATTTGTTTAAAAACATTTGTAAATATTTCGATTAAATCAAGAAAAACACTAACACTATAATAAATTATCAAATTCGATACTGTTTATCTTAAAAAAAAATTATTACTAATTTTAATCTGATATGATTATTGTTTATTGAGACATTATTTTGTATTATAGCAGCTGGCAAAAGATATAGATGTTTATCATAAGAAATTTTTGTACTGCAGTCCGTATCAATGTTATTATTTCGTTTTGCCTTTTTTGGCGGATACGGACATGTTGTATGGGCTACTGTTCGAATAGCTAATTCGAATTCAACAGTGGTTAATTCGTGCGTCATCACAGCCGTTGAAATTCACTTATACATTATGTATGCGTAGCCAAGGTATATTGTATATATATATATATATATATATGAATACAAACTTATGTTCTGGCGTATTAAGTACACACGTGTAAGCGGTCGACACCGTTGATGTGCTAATATTATGTTTTCATTCCGCCGTGAAAGCATCATCACCTAATACTAATGAATACTATTTTATAGCCATGGATGACTATGATAGACAGTGTGAGTCATGAGTATAACATATAAGGAAGCCCGGCAGCGGCGGAACATTGAGAAATGATATATTGAGATGGTTTAGAAATTTTAAATAAGGCTGAAAAATGAAATAGTAACATAGGATATGAGAAATTTGTAAACGTGATCCATGAAGATAGAGGTAAACCATAAAAACCAGTACAGTGGGGTCGGGGCATAGTGGGGACGGGGAGGTCACAGGTTTAGACGTGGTGTTACGGAAAAGTACGCAAGCTGTTAACATATAATATGTAATACCTATGTGTTTTTGTGACAGTTTTTTTCGATTTATTTGCCAAAGTAATATACTACCCCCACTCCCATTCCAACCCCTACCCCTAACCCCAAATCCATTCACGCCCCCACCCCAACCCCATCCCTCATCGTTTATCTCTAATCTCTTATCGGTTATGTGCCAGAAATAAGACATAAAAATGTAAGTGTAATTATGTTTTTTTTTTTCCAAAACAGTTGGCAGTGACATCGACCTCCGCACCTGCCCCTCAACCGGCTAAGAGTACGGAACCGCATTCCGAGACCTCTCAACCGGCTAAGAGTACGGCAACGCATTCCGGGATCGCCCCTCAACCGGCTAAGAGTACGGCAACGCTTTCCGGGACCGCCTCTCAACCGGCTAAGAGTACGGCAATGCAATCCGGGACCGCCCCTCAACCGGCTAAGAATACGGCAACGCATTCCGGGACCGCCTTTCAACCGGCCATGAGTACGGCAATGCATCCCGGGACAGCTCCTCAACCGGCTAAGAGTACCGGCTAAGTTGTTGAAGTTTCAAAATTAGGGCAGGAGGAAAGGTGGAGTGTAGTATTATTTTTATCTGCACGCATTTCCCACCCGCACTTCCCCTCCCATCCTAACTTTAAAACTCTTTTAACTTTAAAATAAGTTATACCAAACTGGTTATCGATCAGTCAAAATATTATTTTCAATTTAAAAAATTAATCAAATATATACGTTACCATTTAAATTTCAAAAGTTGCTATCAAAAAAACTAAGTTGGTTTTGTTTTTTCAAATTTCGACTGTGAGAAGAAAACTTTTTCAACT